TTGTGTCAGTGAACAACTTGACAAGTCGGCTGTTTTCTCAGCCTACAACTCCTTGATACGACTGAAACTTTTAGATTACCTTTAGACGTTATCATTCTATTATCCATGACGTTATCAGAACTCCACGGAAGCTTTAAAATGTCATCTGTGTTTGAATGAATCGGAGTTTGTTCGTTTGAAAATCGGAGTTTTTCCCGGGGGGACTCCTGGGAATTCTTGGTGGGGGTGTGCCGCCCGGTTCTCCAAATCCTGACCCTATTTCAGACCAAATAATATCATTTTTCGCACCCGTTTTCAGACCCAGCATATCAGTAGTCATGTCGTCATTACTTAGAAAAAAGATTTCTTAAATTCCCTTTCGAATTCGAATATTTTCCTTTCTTCCTTACTCACTTGGAATTGAAACGGTAAATAAGTTCATACACTCTCGTAATTCCGTCGAAAACCATACCCGCTTCCAGATCAAAATGGGCAAAGTCAGGAGCCCTGGCAAAAATCTATACCCGTTTTCAGACTAAAAAAGCGCAAAAACCCTACCCTTTGGGGCGGCACAGCCGTGTATGGCTTATATAAGGGAGTACCCCCCCCCCCGAAGTTTGTTGACGAAAATTAGAGTTTGTTTTCGAAAATCAGAGTTCGTTTTCGAAAAGAAGTTTGAAAATCAGAGTTGTTTTCGAAAATCTGAGTTTGTTTTCGATCCGATTCTTGAAAACAAATTCCAATTTACGTAAACCCCAGGGGCCCCACCCACATATTTTAATGACGGGGGGGGTCCGACAGGGGGTTCATATTTTATACCCAAAAAAATCCCAACTTCAGAATTTTTCTACCCAAAAAAATCCCTACTTTTTTTAGCATACCCCAAAAAATCCCTCAGTGTTTTTGCATCAGCAAATTTTATTATTCATCTTCTGGAAAGCTAAAACATGCCAACTTCAACTTTGGTTTTGGTCAAAACAAAACTATAAATTGCGCTTATGTTATTGTTGATTTGAGCTGATGAAAAATACAATACCCAAAAAAATCTCTGTGTTGTTTTCGCGACCCCAAAAAATCCCGGCGTCTTTCATAGACCCAAAAAAATCCCTTTTGGCCAAAATGTCAGACCCAAAAAAATCCTTCAGACCCCCCCGTCATTAAAATATGTGAGTGGGGCCCCTGGGACGTAAACAAACTCCGATTTTCAAAAGAACAATTCCGATTTCTGTCAAAAATAGACGGTCCCTTCATATTATTAAAAGCGCTTGCGTAGAACTCCAACCTAGTCGCTAGGAATAATTGTGTATTTTTATTTTCTGTTGGTTAGGGGTTTAGACGGAGAATCAGGCGCGGATCTAGGATAAATACCAACCGATTTCCTAAACGAGCGGCGAAAGCGCAAGCTTCCAGGGGAGTCCGGAGACGGGCTCCCCCAGGAAATTTTTTGGATTTTCATTCCTTTAAGTCCCCTTTCCTGGATTTCATAGTCATTCAGACAGGATACTGGCCAGATTCCAACCTTGGAAGTGTTTTTATTATCAAAATTATATTTATTATGAAAAATGTGACCGATTTCCGTAAAACGGTGGAAACCGGTGTGGATCCGCGCCTGAGAATGGTGTCTTGAAGCTTAACCTAAGGGTACAGTAAAAAGGCCCTCGTCTCTCGGCGTCCCAATACGTACATCTACAGGGTGTCACTCTTCAGTTAACAGACGGAACCACTGCCAAAAATAGACCAGTGGTGTCTTTATGTAAACCTCACCCCCCAACCCACGCATCCCTGTTTGCTCGAAGATGCAAGCTCCATGTGCGTCGTCTGAAATTTTCCGGGTAACAAGAGAAAAGAATAAGGGAAGGGGGTGAGCTTAAAAGAGGGGGTAACTTAAAATACTACTACGACCAAAACTTTAGTTCTTAATGTTCTCCGTTTCACGCTTCACTATATTTCATGTAGCATATTATTACGTAAATAGCTATGAATTACATCAATATTAGCGATTTGCCTTCTTTTGTACTTCTTTACGATGTTTGTTCCAGTTCAGTTAACAAGATGTATATACCCCAAGGTGTTTATGAAGCCTTACGCTTCTGTAGCGGTATAACATACGGTGTATGGAAGTCAGATTCAGAGTTTGATTGACTTATTTCTAACCTCAGACGTAAATTGTGGCACTTTGCCAGTGCGAATCCGCCTCCCAGGCACACGTTGAGAGGTTCGTCACGTAGTCCTGCCCCAGGTAAATGAAAGGAAAGGGATTTCACTAGATGAATTACATGAAAGAATAGGGAAATCTGTCATTTTGGTCGGTAGAAAAACCCAAAACGGCTATAAACAGATGCATTTTATGGCTGTGAAAAAAGTGGAGAAAACGTTCTGGTTTTGTGATTTATTCATATTCTAAGGACAGTGCATTTACAGCGGTTATAAGGGATCTAAAGTTCTAACCGAGGTATGTGAAAGGGGTACCACGCATTTGCCAATCTCGCTAATAGAACGTATAGGAAAGGGGTACCCTTTCTGTCAAAAATGGTGTATAAAAGGGTAAGTGGCGGGGAGGGGGCGGAGCCTCCTCGGATAAAACTTTGTTGAGTACCCCCCGGGCGCCCGGCAGAGTCTTGAGGAGTTTAAGGTCATTCTGATACCCCCTACACGGGCAGAAGGCACGTAACTGGCTTTTAATGCGCCAACTGTGCAAAAACTTGCACCTTCCGGCCCTAGTTATTTAAAAGGTGGATAATATGGGCTCCCGACCTGATAAATGACCATCTAATGGATAGCGCAGTTGGTTTCCCTAACACTTATCCGTTGGATAGTGATTTATCAGGTGGATAGCGCTATCCAACTTTTGAACAGCTGGGTCAGGTGTTTACACGAGTCCGCTTAAAGGGGAACCATACCGGTCAAAAATTTTGACCTTCTCCTGATTCGGCAGGTCAAAAGCTTGCACACTTTGCCGTTTAAAACTTATGGTTACGCTGGTCCCGTGCAAATGAAATGCGGACCCGTGTATGTTTTTGTCTGTTCAAGAATTTGTCTTGGCCCGTGTAAACGAACTGAGGCCGTTTCGCACGAAAGTGGATTCGCCCGAAGGCGTTCGCCTGGACTTAGTCGATTCGCCCGATCACATACAACACACAACAGACGCTGCAGCTAGGTGAACCTACTTCTCCGAGATGTTATTTTAGTTAACTTTAGAGTCCACATGGGCGCTCACTATCTTTCTGGCTTATTCCTATTTCTCAGGCTTAAAGAACGACAAATACACATCGAGCGAATCACGCGACCTAGTCTTTGCGAACTGCCATCGGGCGAAACTACCCGATACCGTGTAAACGGGGGTCTGAGGGTATGCTGATCGTCTGTCTCAATTTTCCTGTAGATGACAGCTTCGTCCGCAGCAAACAGTTTGCGTCGGGTAGTTCGTTTAAGTAAATGAGCAATATTAAACTTGGACCTAATATAGTTCCCTGTGATACGCCAGACTTAACTGGAGAGCAACTGTCTGCGGTACGATCATTAACGACTACACGCTCAGGACGATCGGTGGGGAAGTGTTAAAGCTTGGGCTTACGGTCGTTTCGCCCACAAGTAGTTTCGCCAACGTCTTGTTTGCTAACTTCTGAAGTCGTTCCGAGTACGTGTTGGGTCAGTTCCCCAACTGCTTTTACCTGACAGTGGCTGAAAGCACGGGGTATATACATGCTTATAGCACTTTTTTGGTATCATGGCTGAGAGAACAAAGCATATACATGCGCAGCGCTCATTTCGCTTCTTAGCGCAACGACATAAGACGAGGACGTTAGCGAAACGACTCGTAGGCCAAAGGACTTATTACGTAGTATTCCACAGTAATCGGCTTATTCTCTCTTGGCTTTGCTAAGCAGTCGCCAGTGTGGCACCGAGTCGAATACTTTGGCGAAGTCCTCGGTCCGTTGACACGCATTCGGGTATTTTGAAACCGTATTTTTTTTACATAAATCGTCCTTCCGACCAGACGAAACCCGCAATGTCTTCTGCCTTCGAACATACGAGTTTGTACCCTGCGAGCAGAGTCCACATTTTCGGGGTGTGAGCTGGCGTGCTACTTTTCTCACGCCAGCTCTCACGGGTGTCCGCAAAACTAAGACCTCAGACCCGGAAAACTTTTTCGTTTTTAACTTCAATCTCTGTCCCGCTAAACACACCAACATACACCAAGAATTATAAGTATACTTCCCTTTCATCTTTTTCGGGCTGAGGAACGAGCGTACAAAGAAAACATACCAAACCTTCTTCATACCTGATTCGTGACACAAGTCTGCCTTCCATTATAATTGCCCGGTCAATGGGTGAAGTCCGAGTGTCAACAAAAATGTTGCCGCGAAATGTTGCCTTTTTCTGCTTTTATCTTATTTATTATTATTTATTTTGAAAATAGGTGTTTCTAAAAAACGGATCGCTGTTCTCGTTTTCTCCTTATCCATCTTGCACTAAATGGTAGCCTGCGAGCAAACTCTCCTATTTGGGCGAGCGAAGCAAGCCTCGCGAGCTAGGGGCCGAGGCCTTTCTCTCCCCCGTCCCCCGCCTTCGCGTCTCCTCTCGCGCGTCTACTTTTTACGATATCCCCAAACGGAGAGCTTGCTCGCAGGCTAACTAAATGGCGGCAAGTCACACTCCTTGCTTTTAGTTCTTTGGGTCTTAGTTTTCCGGGTCCTAGCTAAAAATTGTAATCCATTTTGATCTTCTTCATTTCATTTATCCGCGCTCTTCTTTTCTATTTCCTTGTAATTTAAGTACTCCTTCGCTGTTTTAAGGGTCACTTTTCACATTTTGTTGACTTTCATGACCAGTTCGTCAGGGTCTTAGTTTTCTGGGTCTTAAGTCTTAGTTTTCCGAAAATGTAGCCTCTGCTCGCCTGGTAACGCCGGAGTTTGTGGTAAAACAAAAATGGAAAAACGAGCAGCGAAAACGTAACCATTGAAATAAATCCGCCCCTACTATGTCTGATAAGAGTATTTAAAAATTGAATAAATGGAACTTTATTTAAACAATTTCAGTTTCTTAAAGAACGACTGGATCTGTTGTTTTGGATAAGGTTTGGTGGCAAGGCAAGTTGGAAAGTTCTCTGGTTGTTCCACCCACAGTTTGTGATCAATTTTACTGGCTGTTAAATCCTGTGACAGCTTTTCCAACTCCTCTTGATTTGAGGCCTGAATGAAAACCATTATTATTGAAGATAAGAATTAAAGCATTGATACGGGGAATACCGTTAACTGCCGTAGGCCCATATACTTGTAAACAAAAAATGCATCCGATCATTAGCCCTCTCAGATATAAGGACCCCTCTAGCTTGTATTAAAATGAATTCGATTTATTTTGACGTTTTAAGGGTTAATGCCCATAGAGGAGAAGTCGTTACGTCACGTTGCCATGGTAGCAAAATTTTTGGATGACAACAAAGCGATACAGTTATTTAAAAGTCTACTCGCATTATTTCAAACTTCAGCGATCTTATTCAATTTCATTTAAATTGACAAAATTTTCCTTGAGACAGCGTCTATTGTTATCTAAGTTTAAAACAAGACAGAGACAACTTTTGTGTTTTGTTCACTAACTCCATAAAGCGGGCTCGTGAAATTAGGAAGTTTCCAGTGTCGTAGTGGTGCAACAATGGCAAAGAAATGTACAAAATAGCGTGATTCACGTGCAAAGTTGTTGTTTGTTAATATAAACATATATTTTTTGCCGTTCTCATTGCTGTCACCGTTGGTTTTGTTGTCATCCAGAAATAGTGCTACCATGGTAATGTGACGTCACACTTCTCCTCTCTATTAAAAACCAGTTAATGTAACACATATTTTGATCAACAATGCTATAGTTTGTTTTGAAGTGCTTTTTAGTTTATAGACAGTTGTTTACATTTGCTCTGTTGAAAACCACCAGACCACCAAGAATTCTTTTTTTAACTATAGTTATACTAAATTTGTATTTAATTTTCAATTTGAGAAGAGTTTAATAGAGTATGTTTTTTTGCATTTCTATTCTGGTTACAAGCCCCCTGGGATATAAGCCCCTCTGTTTATAAGACCTTCTAAATCCCCTCACAAAGATGTATAAGCCCTGAGCAGTTTATGGTAGCTCATTACTGAAGATAATAGAATCATTACACTTTACTCTGGAAGTGAAAGGAAGTTCAAAGATTCGCTAGTTGAAAAACTGCTGTGACCATAGTTATGAGAGTGGAAAGGTTATGAAGCCCATCAAACACATTATTAATTTGTTATATGCCTTTGTGGATTTGAAGGAGCACAATGTTCAATAGCATTTTTATCATTTTGATCTCATTGACCAATAAAAACATCTCAAAGGTAGGTTGAGTTTGATCGTTGGGGTGAACGTAGTCCTGAATAGGACTGTTGTTGACAGTGACTGATGTTTTGACAACCTGTGCAGTAGTCATCTTCAGAGTCAAAGTGAGTTGTATCACGGATCGAAACGCACCAATTACTGATTACCAGTCTTCAGAGCCAATGACATCACAGCTTAACTGACAGATGACCAATAACATCGTGGCGTATTTGACCAATCAGATCAATAACCAGAGTATAATACCATCAGCTGACGTGATACAACTCTCTTTGACTCTGAAGATGACTACCGCACAGGTTGTCGAAACGTCAGTCACTGTCAACAATATTATTGTCCTATTCAGGACTACGTTCACCCAGACGATCAAACTCAACCTACTTTTGAAATGACTCCTGGGTTCAAACCCTTTACAAAAACATCTCATTAAGTTATTCCACCACAATTTGTGAACAAAAAACAAAGGATTGTGCATGTTCGGGGAGCTCCCAACTGGATCTGCAGCACCGCTGTTTTTATCTTTAAAGCTTGTCACCTTTCATAACCAGCCTACTCTAATTACTGTACTGTGACTACTAACAAAATCACTGCCAAAACCAAAAAAATGCTTTAATCAAAAACCCACTGAGTCCCAGTTTTTTAATCCAAAGGTAATGTTTAAGTCACAGCATACAATCTGTATGTAAATGACAGTTATCCCGCAAAATTTCTCATAATAAAAAAATTATTACCCATAACTATGCAAATGTCTCAACAATCAGGCAATCAAAATCACTTCCAGGTTTTCAGGTAGTGATTGATGCCAAAAGACTACTCATTACTAAGAATTGTTTTCACAGCTACCTTGTGTGTGGATTAACTCCTCATTACATATGCAGAAGTGCAGAGATGAAACTGAAATCTGCAAGTACCAGCAGATTCAACCATCGAATAATATTTTCATTAACGCAATCTTGGGGATTACGCTTGACCTGCCCTGACTGTAATGGAGGTTAACCCGTATGACCCATCATTTGATTCTAACAAAACGTAACATTCGTGGCATGCCTCACCTCTAGTACAACTTTGTGCATGTGGTCTAGTTCACTGGTATACTCAATTGTATGAGGGTCATTACGATATGTCCAAAGAACAGCTGTGCTTGCATGACATGCTTGGGCTATCACAGCACCTGTTGGCCATGACAACAGCCTTAAAAGGTCCCCTCTCACGATAACATATTGAACAAGTTGAGAAGACATTGAANTTGTCACCTTTCATAACCAGCCTACTCTAATTACTGTACTGTGACTACTAACAAAATCACTGCCAAAACCAAAAAAATGCTTTAATCAAAAACCCACTGAGTCCCAGTTTTTTAATCCAAAGGTAATGTTTAAGTCACAGCATACAATCTGTATGTAAATGACAGTTATCCCGCAAAATTTCTCATAATAAAAAAATTATTACCCATAACTATGCAAATGTCTCAACAATCAGGCAATCAAAATCACTTCCAGGTTTTCAGGTAGTGATTGATGCCAAAAGACTACTCATTACTAAGAATTGTTTTCACAGCTACCTTGTGTGTGGATTAACTCCTCATTACATATGCAGAAGTGCAGAGATGAAACTGAAATCTGCAAGTACCAGCAGATTCAACCATCGAATAATATTTTCATTAACGCAATCTTGGGGATTACGCTTGACCTGCCCTGACTGTAATGGAGGTTAACCCGTATGACCCATCATTTGATTCTAACAAAACGTAACATTCGTGGCATGCCTCACCTCTAGTACAACTTTGTGCATGTGGTCTAGTTCACTGGTATACTCAATTGTATGAGGGTCATTACGATATGTCCAAAGAACAGCTGTGCTTGCATGACATGCTTGGGCTATCACAGCACCTGTTGGCCATGACAACAGCCTTAAAAGGTCCCCTCTCACGATAACATATTGAACAAGTTGAGAAGACATTGAAATTACAAGAAGAACGTCACATGAATCCTGTAAAGAAGAAGTAATAGATAAGAGTGTCAAATGAAATCCTCTGAAGTTTATAAGTAAAAATGCCACATTCAGGCTTGACAAAATTTGAATCCAAATGTCCTTTGGGTAAACAGCTCTGTCTCAATTTTTTTTTGCCTAGGGCAATTTTTTTTTTATAATTCTACCTTACTTTAGTGGCTACCAATTAGAAGTATTCTCATGATTCGATCTTAAGAGACTCAGTATGTTCATCATCCTGCAAACAGAGCCTCCTTTTCAGGTGCATTTTAGAGAAATTGGTCACATTTTTCATTATAAATACATTTTAATAATAAAAAACACTTTCCAAGTTGAAATCCTGTCTAAATGACTCAAAAACCCTGGATAGGGGACTTAAAGGAGTAAAAATCAAAAAACTTTCCTTAGGGTGCCCACCCCTGGACCCCACTAGAAGCTTGCGCCTTTGGTGCTCGTTTAGGAAATCGGTCAGTATTTATCCTAGATCCACGTCTACTTTTGTCTTCTTGAGTGGGAAGGAAAAAAGGAGTATCTTCCTGAAATACATCAAGGGGGGGAATACTCCCTATGATGGCCTGTATGAGAAAGCTCTGCCCAAAAGGTGTGTCTTTTTCAGGCTTCAGGTATATGAAAGGGTAGGGAAGACTACCATCGTTTGTCTGTAAAAAAGCCCAAAAGGGCTAACAGATGCATTTCATGTCTGCAAAAAAGTCAAGAAAACTTTCTGGTTTTGTGATTAATTCATATTAAAAAGACAGTGCATTTACAGCAGTTGAAAGGTATGTAAAGCTCTAAACATATCTAGGTACATGAAAGGGGCACCATTTGTCAATGGGAGGTGTACAAAAGGGGTTCCCTGTTCTGTTAAAAATGGTAAATTTAAGGGTAAGGGGTTGGACCTCGGGGCAGAGCCTCCCTCTTCAAAACTTTGTTGAGTACCCCTCTGAGTGTAGTACATACTAAGAATATATTGATCAGGCCAATTCTTGGTTTGAAACCACAATAGAATTTTTTCTCGAAGAATTTACACGAAAAAAGAGTTTAGTTCCCAGAGGGGACAAATACTTTTGCTCTTAACCACCAACATGGCCCCGTGACGTCACCTGCAAACCAGCAGTGTCGAGGAGGTAGAAAACAATGCAAAATTGTAAAACTGTCACCCCGAAAAACGATGGTGGTCACTTATCAGAGGTGGCAGTTTATGAGAGCTTCCAACCATGGGAATTTGACTGGGAAATTTTGGTGTTTTTGCTAGAGGGTCACTTATGGAAGGTGGTCGCTAACCCGGGGAGGGGGGGGGGGGTACGTTGGGAATTTCTGTGTGGGGTTGTGCCTTGGGGACCCTGGACCCCTAAACTTAACCCAGAGCTAGTTCCGCTGGTTTTTCTTCCCTTATCCAAGAGAAAACTCTCAAAATCCCCCCACCCTTAGAGTAGCCTTTTATACAGGAAACGATTAAACAATTTCAGTTTCTTAAAGAACGACTGGATCTGTTGTTTTGGATAAGGTTTGGTGGCAAGGCAAGTTGGAAAGTTCTCTGGTTGTTCCACCCACAGTTTGTGATCAATTTTACTGGCTGTTAAATCTTCTGACAGCTTTTCCAACTCCTCTTGATTTGCAGCCTGAATGAAAACCATTATTATTAAATATAAGAATCAAAGCATTGATAGGGGGAATACCGTAAACTGCCGTAGGCCCATATACTTGTAAACAAAAAATGCATCTGATCATTAGCCCCCTCAGATATAAGCCCCCCTCTAGCTTGTATTGAAATGAATTCGATTTATTCTGACGTTTTAAGGGTTAATGCCCATAGAGAGGAGAAGTCGTTACGTCACGTTGCCATGGTAGCAAAACTTTTGGATGACAACAAAGCGATACAGTCATTTAAAAGTCTACCCGCATTATTTCAAACTTCACCGATCTTATTCAATTACATTTAATTTGACAAAATTTTCCTTGGGACAGCGTCTATTGTTATCTAAGTTTAAAACAAGACAGAGACAACTTTTGTGTTTTGTTCACTAACTCCATAAAGCGGGCTCGTGAAATTAGGAAGTTTCCGGTGTCGTAGTGGTGCAACAATGGCAAAGAAATGTACAAAATAGCGTGATTCACGTGCAAAGTTGTTGTTTGTTAATATAAACATATATTTTTTGCCGTTCTCATTGCTGTCACCGTCACCGTTGGTTTTGTTGTCATCCACAAATAGTGCTACCATGGTAACATGACGTCACACTTCTCCCTATTAAAAACCAGTTAATGTAACACATATTTTGACCAACAATGCTATAGTTTGTTTGAAGTGCTTTTTCTATTCTGGTTACAAGCAGATATAAGCCCCTCTGTTTATAAGGCCTCCTAAATACCCTCAAAAAGATGTATAAGCCCAGGGCAGTTTATGGTAGCTCATAACTGAAGACTATAGAATCATTACACTTTACTCTGGAAATGACTGGAAGTTCAAAGATTTGCAAGTTGAAAAACTGCTTTGACCATAGTTATGAGAGTGGAAAGGTTATGAAGCCCATCAGACACATTATTTGTTATATGCTTTAGTGGATTTGAAGGTGCACAATGTTCAAAAGCATTCTTATCATTTTGACCTCATTGACCAAAAAAAAACAAAGTTATTCCATCACAATTTGTGAACAAAAAACAAAGGATTGTGCAGGGTCAGGGAGCTCCTAACCTTTTATCTTTAAAGTTTGTCACCTTTCATAACCAGTCTCCTCTACTTACTGTGCTGTGACTTGCTAACAAAATCACTGCCAAAACCAAAAAAATGCCTTAATCAAAAACCCACTGAGTCCCAAGATTTTAATCCAAAGGAAATGTTTAAGTCATAGCATACAATCTGCATGTAAATGACAGTTATCCTGCAAAATTTCTCATAATTACACATAACTATGCAAATGTCTCAACAATCAGGCAATCAAAATCACTTCCAGGTTTTCAGGTAGTGATTGATGCCACTGGCATTGACGGCTGATTGATTCAGTTTTCTTTCTCAGGAGTTTGTGATTTGAGCAGATGACTGAAATTCAGGCTAGAATAGGAGGGGAAGGGGTGATGAGGCTAAGTACTATACAAGGAGGGTGGGGAGGGGTGATTATGCAGTGATTTTAACAAACAAAAGGAACCAAAGTCGCACAAGAATAAGTAGCATAGACCTATTAAGCACGCACCTCTACTAAGCTGCTGTGGCCACCTTTTGGTGGGCCTATCCCAACGGGGGTTTTCCTAATAATTGTTGTCACCTCTTAATAAGTGGCCATCAAGGGCTTGATACACTTTGCTAAGCTTCATTTTAGGAATATGATGAAGGAAAAGATGAAAAGATGGTAGGTGAGGACCAATTGTTGACCATTAATGTTGGTCTACCTCACTACGCGGTCAGGATGTTGCTTTCATTCCAAGATGCAACAGCAGATTCATGAGAGACTCATTAGTCTTTCGGGGCTCAGGTCTTTGGAATGTAGTTAATTGTAATGATAAAATAGATAACCTAAATGTTAAGGATATCAAAAGACTGCTCACTACTAAGAATATTGTTTTCATGGCTATCTCGCGTGTGAATTCACTCCTCATTATGTATGGAGGAGTGCAGAGATGAAACTGAGAGGTACAAATACCAACAGATTTAACCTTCGAATAATAAATTCATTAACACAGTCTTGGGGGGTACGCTCGACCTGCCCTGACTGTAATGGAAGTTAACCCATACAACCATCATTTGAGAACAAAACTCAACATTTGTGGCATGCCTCACCTCTAGCACAACTTTGTGCATGTGATCTAGTTCACTGGTGTACTCAATTGTATGAGGGTCATTACGATATGTCCAAAGAACAGCTGTGCTTGCATGACATGCTTGGGCTATCACAGCACCTGTTGGCCATGACAACAGCCTTAAAAGGTCCCCTCTCACGATAACATATTGAACAAGTTGAGAAGACATTGAATTTACAAGAAGAACCTCACATGAATCCTGTAAAGAAGAAGTAATAGATAAGAGTGTCAATTGAACTCTTCTGATGTTTATAAGTAAAAATGTCACATTCAGGCTTGACAAAAATTGAATCCAAATGTCCTTTGGGTAAACAGCTATCTGACTCAAGTTTTGCTTGCCTAGGGCAATTTTTTTTTATAATTCTAGCTTACTTAAGTGGCTACCAATTAGAAGCATTCTCATGATTCGATCTTAAGAGACTCAGTGTGTTCATCATCCTGCAAACAGAGCCTTCTTTTCAGGTGTATTTTAGAGAAATTGGTCACATTTTTCATTATATATATATTTTAATAATAAAAAACTTTTTCCAAGTTGAAATCCTGTCTAAATGACTCAGAAACCCTGGATAGGGGACTTAAAGGAGTAAAAATCAAAAAAATTTCCCAAGGGAGCCTACCCCTGGACCCCACTAGAAGCTTGCGCCTTTGGCGCTCGTTTAGGAAATCGTTTAGGAAATCGGTCAGTATTTATCCTAGATCCACGTCTACTTTTGTCTTCTTGAGTGGGAAGGAAAAAAGGAGTGTCTTCCTGAAATACATCAAGTGGGGGGGGGGGGGGGG